ATAGCGCATGGGCTGTTGTGGATGGATTGTAATGAATCGTTACTCATATGGTGTTAATCGCTAAACTTTTTCATTTCATGTGTTGTAACTCAAATTTAAAATTTCTACGAAAATGCAGAGGTTTTATTATTATGAAAGAAAATTATCTTGGTATGGGATGAAGGCTCAGCTGACTGACTGCGGCGTTATCAACTACAGAGACGTGTTGAGAGTCCTTATCATGAGACGTGGGGAGGGCGTGCCCACGAGCTCAGTTGTGTGCTGTGCGCTGATTGAAGACAAGTACGAACAGAACATCTGCATAAAAGCAGCACAAGAAGGATGCTGAACGCCGGAGTCAGTTGGAGCTCTCCTTCCCTCTTTCTGCTTCGACCGATAACTATCCAGAGATGTTGAGCAGCAGCAGAGCGCACAGTTGAGGCTCGGACGCACCTCTCTAGGCGCCACGATATGGACCGTAATAGAGAGGTGTTGCGGTGCTGTTCGATGACGGGGGCATTTTGTACTATCATTGCTTCCCTAGTTCCGGTTTACAAGTCTCACTCTGGCGAAACCTGTGAACTCTTGTGAAGCTGGAGCTCATCTAGCCATCATGGTAAAACCTGTCAACTCGAGAAGAGGCTGCCTAGATAGGTCGACACGTCGATGGGAAGTAGCGAAAGTGCAAAATGCCCCCCCCCCGTCGTCAAACTGCACCGAGTGTTGCTCATGAAAGCGCAGCTGCCATGAGGCGACTTTTTGAACACCCCTTTAGTATATGGATATAGAAACACCCTTCCCGAGATGGGCTCTGCATACATAGGCCGCGCAATCAAAATAAAGAAGGAAGTCGAGTGGCTGATGCAACATATACAAGAGAAAATTTTTTTCTTAAGGCAGGCTCAGAGCTGGCTGGGACTAGCGAAATGTGCTTCTTTCAGCGTTCAGGCTAAAGAAGCCTTCGCCCTCATCTGCTGGAAATCCCGGACAACGATCGGCCCTTGCTGCATGACGTTGCCATGGTGAGCAGTTCTAATCGTGCGCTTCTCTTTCTCGGCGTGACTAACTATTTTTGATGCTTTCTCTGTCTCTGTGACGTGAATCTTATTAAAATGATATGAAAAAGCGCTTCGGAGTGCAGTAGTACCGCTCATGTCTACGTTTTTTATTCCTGCTCTTCATTTCGGCTTTTTCAAAACTTTTGTTCGAATTTCTTCCACTTTCTCGCTGAAGTCCCTCCATACCCATTCCCTTAGCAAATTGTCGTTTCTTTTCGTGTTTATATCAAATATCACTAGAGTGTATATCAAGGTGAGGTGGTAATGTGCATTATGTCGAGTTAATTAGTTAGAAAAAACTAGCTAGTTGCCGCTTTCGTCCTGTATTTACGTTTCGGGGATATGATAGATATCCTCGCAAAGAGATCGTCGGGTCGATCACAGCAGGCGTGAAATGGACCCACCGCGGCTGCTTTTCCTAACAATAGTGGCCGTTTCAGGGAGAGAAAAAGCAAAGGTGTAAAAAAAACTGCTGCAGGTGGACCCATTTCAGGCTTCCCGGTACCACCCGCTGTACCGGGATCGGCAAGCTAAAACGTGCTAAACGAATAATGATGATATAGAAGCGCCAATTAGTCTAAGAGGGCAACAACATGAGCTTTTTTTTTGTATGAGCTGGGCTTCAGCAGCGTAGGTGGGAAATATGGACTTTGTGGGACAGCGCCTAGCAGACCAGTGAAGAGGTGGAATGACAACACTTAAAGAGCAAAGCCCGCGCGAGAGCCACAGATTGTGGGGTAACGGAACCCCACATAGACACGACGAAAACAGGCGGCGAGCGTCATCCATGATTAGCGAGGCCGCGTCCCGAAAAGCAGCAGGAAAAACAGGGAGCGAGGCTCCTTGCCGGAAAAATGCCCTAAAAAAGGATTCCATATCGCCACTCCATCTTGTAGAGTGCATGCGAATGAAGAAAAACTGCCACTGTTTGTACGGAATTTTCCACTCGTCCGTTATCATAAAGGATATTAGCTCTTTTATCCGAATCACCGTCACTCTTCTCACGTAATCACCTCACGTTCTCACATTTCGGAATGGACAAAAAAGAGGATAGATAGCTGACTTACTAGGCTACGTAGCTAGCAGTCGGTGGGGGTCGGCATGGCGCCTAAGGGCGCCCATTGGGGCTAAGTTGCTTTTAGTTCAATTCGAAATATTCTTGCCGATTTTTCAACTCTTTCTAAAAGATAGCGCAAGCCTCCGCAATCTCCTTCTGGATCCACAGGTCAGTCGTCTGACACATTTGAAAGGTCATAGCCTTATTTTATCGCGGAAAGTGCCTTTAAGAACATGGTAATTTTACTAGAATGACGAAACTGCACACGGTGGCTGTCAATAGCCCACCCTTTTCCAAATGTTACTGCGACCCGAACAAGGAAATAATGAAGTAAATCAATATACACCGAGAAATCTTTTTGCAGATATGTCACGATGGAGCGAGTCGATTTATAGCGAACCGAATACATCGAGGAATTCTCAACACGGATTTCTCACGGAGTTGGATGCTCGCCTCTATGAAGGAGTACCCATGAGCGGTTGGTTTGAATAGCTCAAAACGAATTGAAACTGGCCATGAGGAAGAGTCCTTCTACAATTTACTCTACTTCAGACCCACAACTGGATGCTGAAGCAGGCGAATGGGCGGCACGTTTTCTCCACCTTCGTGTTCGCGGTGTGAAGTGCAACATCTCGACAGGGAAACCAAATGGAGGCGGAAGAAACGGTTTCTCATCCCCTTGAACCGCTTGCGTCCAAAATTTCCAAGATATTCTCACAATTTCAGGTGATACACGTGAAGGCGACGTCGTCACGGACCTGCAGCTGGTTGCTGAAGCAAATCTTACTCGTTCGAGTAAGTCTTCTCCAGTTAAGAGAAGCTCAAAGACGTCTGCAACTAATCATTCTGCAACCGTGCATTTGCCCAAGTTAAATGAAATGAAAAGGTAATAAATGTGTCAATGCGCGTCACGTGGTGTTAGCATTTTCATCAAAACTTTCATTTCATTTAACACGTATTTTAATTAGCTACAGTCTTGTTCGCTGAGGATGATGGGGCGTGTCAAGAAAGAATGGGCTTGCACGCCGCCAACATGCATGCATGCGACATTCCTCATTTTTTCGTTCGGCACGCGGCGAAAGTGCGTCATATCGTCCGTCTCAATTGACTTCTACGAAGTTACTGTTTTGCTTCTGCGCTTCCAAACAATCGCTGATTATGCGCTGGCTTCGCGTCCAAACGCCAACCTCAATAGGAACGCGCCCATCATCCGCAGCGATACTCCTATGGCACATCACCGTTGTGGGCGAAACTGGAGGGTGGGGTGAGGTCCTACTTGGCCGCTGCTGGGAAGGGGGATCGTAAACGCAGAGTCGGTGAGCATCAAATAGCACAAAAGTGTCATTGCTAGGTTTGATGCACGGACGGGAAGCTACAAAGGACCCGGATGCAAGGAAAACTACAAAATAATAAAATAATAGAATGCAAGGAAAACATACAAAATAATTATATTGGGGTAATAATCACAATATCAATAGTTATCATGAGCTTGTAAGACGCAGAATGCGCAATAAATAATGCTCAGAAGATCGTCCTTTTATTCGACTCTTTGCCAAACCCTAAACAAAGCATCTGCCTTGCAATGGACAAAATAACCCTGCCACTGGGAGAGGTTGGGCCTCGCAAGGCTGCAGGCTCGCGTGAGCAGCAACACAAACAAAAGGGTCAGTTCAAGTTGATGGAGCGGAGCGGAAAGTGCAGAGACCCGGAGTAGGAAAGCTGCAAAATAATAAAATAATAATCAGCAATATCAATAGTTATCATGAGCTTGTAAGTACGCAGATGACCAAATAGTACATCTCAAACAGATTCGTGTTTATCGATCTTTCCAAACCCTAAACAAACATCTACTTGCATGGACAAAAATCACCTAAAATCAGAAGTTACACCTTTCCACCACGTCTGCGTAGAAGCGTGATGCACGGCGCATGCTCGGATTGAATCGATCGATGATAAGCAATTTATGATTCGCCTCAGTTCAACAGGAATATGCGTTTTCAAGGCATATTGAAAGTCGCGAATGAGTATCCTTACAATGGCACAGAAGGAGTCGAGCTTTTGAGTGGCTCAGAATGTCGCCCAAGGGTGACCCATCTAAAATGTCTTCTAAGCTAGCTGGTCTCCAGGGAATCTCTGGAGCTTTTTGGAAAGGGGAAACATTGGGCACCTCATAATCTTTCGGCGTAGCCTGATTGCGGTCTTCGCATTGCTGAGTAGTAGAGAAAAATTGAGTATTTCTGAATGAATTCAAGCGTGACGTCATCCATGTTTTGAAGTTGATTAGAGTGGACTGTGGTCCTTACAGCTGTGCTAGTATCCAGCGATATCGCTTCTGAAGTCCTACCAATAGTACAGTAAAACATTTATTCCATGCACATGGAATAAAGATGGCTTCTGGCTAACTATGCTACGTTTCTCCTTGGGAGATCCTGCGAGGGATGCGTGCATGATTTACGCAAGGACTCCAACACTCGCTACCAACCACAAGATCTCACAAAAGTTCTTCCAGTGTGTACAAGGAAAAGAAAACTCAGTCACGACCATTCGGTGCGCTCTGTCAGACTGGTCCAACTCATGAGGCATCCTGTATCCTAAAATTTCCCGATAACCGAGATTGCGGAGAAGCATGGCAGTTGTCAGTTAGGTGGAGCCTAGAGAGGTTGCCAACTTACTGGTGGTTACGTTCGGCTGCGCCTCAAGAAGCTTGAGTAAAGGGCCGTCATTCTGTGCTGGTGGCCGACCTATACACATTGCCTACCTCCGAGTTGAATAAGTCCAGCTTGAAGAGCTTATGCAAAGGCTACCCTCTGCCAGCGATATTCTCTCCTCAAGACACCGTATGTGTTAACTTCCTCGACTACGGCTGAGTGGCCCTACACGAACTCATAATATGGGATAGGTCGAAAAGGACCTCGATCTCTGAGGGACTTTTAAGCTTTGAAATTTTCCACAAAGTCATATGCCCATTTGCGGAAACCCCAGAGAACAGTCTCCACTAATCAGGGATGAAAACATTCGAAATGTTTTCAGGGTCTTTTTCTAGAACATTCAATCAAAAGTTGGGTCGGCAGTGACGCTCGCGTCGCAACCAAACAGCGTGGCATGAAACCTCAGGTCGACTAGGATCTCGATCCTGCTCAGCTCAGCAGCTTTTCGATGAAAATCATTTTAAAGCAAAAATTGCAATGAACCATAACATCCGATTAATAACTAACTAGTTCTTATATTCTTATTTTGAGCAAATAGAGTATTCAATCAGTGGCTTTATTGTAGTCTGAACTAAGCAACACTAGTATAGTAATTAGAAGATAGAAATTTGGGTATGGATCATTCTTTGCTGATTGCCCCCGTTTTTCGGACTTCAGGTCGAGAGAGTTGTGTGTGTGCCTGGGAAATTCTTTCCCTAAAAGCAGTTCGACCGCCATGGAGCACACTGGCCATAGTCTTGGGCTTGCAAAACGCCCGATCCAGCCCAAGATATTTCGCAGCTGCCAAAGTCGCTGATATCGTTATAAAGGCAAGTGTATTAAAAGCTTCCATGGTTCGACAACTAAAATGCTTTATTCGGCGTGTCGACGGGCAAAAAAGGGGGGACCGGTTAAAGGAGGAACCGCTTTCAAGGGCAAATTATTAGCTGATTTCGTTCTCGAGTACAAATTTGACGAACATCGAAACCAGCAAAAGGAGAAAGGTGTCAAAATTTGATGGTGACCGTTATTTCAATCATATCACCATGGATCTCTGGGCAGGTCTTGTGCCCTAGGGCCAGGAATTATCATATCGTCATTGTCGTCGTCTTCCAGTTGCCATCTCCACGCTCGATGTAGCAGCAAGTCCGCCTGAACACAATAATTATGGGCGCCAAGGATATTTCGCAGTCCGTGAATCACTACTACCGTGCACCACGCCGTTGCAGGAACCTCTTGGGTCTTGAGCGCGCGCACAAGGCGCACCATTTGCAGAAAGCGATTGAGTGAATGGGCTAAAACGCACATCATGCGGGGAGTGCCGGGAGGGAGTACAACATGAAAACTGAATATCCTCAAACTTGGACGGCTAGCAAGAGCGAGGAACAGGATAGCAGCGATTCCTTGGACCGCGGAATTTTTCGTGTGCTACAAAGGTACTCGGGGTAAGGCAAGGTCACGCTCCTCTTGAGAAAAAGCTCTGCTGAATACGACCCCCTCTCATCGAAATTTCCTGGTCTGATACGACCCCCTCCCTTGGGGATCCCCAACGTGCGACATGCCCTGACTAGCATCAACCAAGCCCAACTAACACTATCTCGTTAAGAGAGCGCAGAGTAGGAGAAAATGAGCACCTCCCTCTGTTAAGCCTGGTGCTCATTTAAGAAAATCCAACTACCTTAGAAACTAGTTCGCTCAGGAGATGAGAATCTTTCAGAGTATCTGGCACGTAGCATGCTGGCATGTTGTGCCGACGATAGAGCCCAAACGTGCGCATAACCTGAAAAATTGAATTTAGGTCTCTTTCAAATAAGGCAGTCTAGAAAGATTGAGTGAGGGAGGGGGGGGGGGAAGGGTGGGGAGAGAAAACAGTTCAAAACCCTTTTGGATAAGCGTTCAGTTGGGCTCTCCTCACGAGCCGATAGTACAGTGGGTTTGGAATGAAAACTGCGAAAAGAAAGCTTAATCCAGTTTGGGTTCATAAGGGTCAAGAACCTCATGATTCAAAACCAGAGAAAATAACCAAAACATTTGCAGAGTTATGAATGTTGGAGCTGTGCATCATGTAGGTCGGCTCAGGCTCTCAGCCCCCAGTCTGATAACTGTTCTAGCCTGATACCAGCTCAGACTGTACCTAGGAATTATTGCAGACAGGGGCCAGCATCGTCAGGAGAATCGAGAAACTGTCATCCCTATCCCACCCGTATGCAGAGGTGTCA